GGCCAGGTTGGACACAGGGGCTTGGAGCAAGCTGCTCCAGTGGAAGGGGTCCCTGCCCGTGGCAGGGGTTGGAGCTGGAGGAGCTTTAAGGTCCCTTCCAACCCAAACCAGGCCATGATTCTATGATTCTAGAACTGTTTTCAGACCTTTTTTCCTGCAGTTCAAGTGAGAAGCTAGAACTGACCTCTTCTTCCCCCAACCAAATAACTTGCCCCTAGAAAACCAGCAGAAAACCTGTTCAAAACTGTTTTTTGTCTCCAGAAGAGGAACATGAATGAGTGTCAATAGGAAAATCGGAACCCAATGCAATTGCCACATCAGACTCCACAGCTGTGCCCCCAAACGAACCCTCTTCCAAGAAAGCACATCATGTTCCATATATTACATTATATTGCATTATATTACATTATATTAATATTATATTGTATTATACTATACTATATTATACTATATTATATTATATTATTATATTCACCTATTCTTGTCTGTCCTGGTATTTTTCACTGTTATAAAAGCAACCCGTGAAGCCTCACGGCACTGAGCACACTTTCTTTGCATGCTCTGACGATGTTTCCTCCTGCCCTCCTGCCTCCTTCGGGGGTGAGCCCACCAAGAGGTGCTTCTCACACTGCACAATGTGTTTGAGACCCAGGTCCTGGCTCCTGCTAATCTCTGCCTGCATCTCAGGGTTTGCAACACCAGCACATTAAAATGGTTTTAGAGCCCAATTCTTCAGCACTTGCCTTTGACAGTTTATCCCAGGGGATAGATAATCTCATTTACGTCTGTTACTACAAATCAAAACACCAGCAAATTAAATGGCTCTGAAGGCTACGATTAAAGGCTCTGAATGAAACACCTGTGAAGTGCTTGTAATGCAAATACTTGTAAATACCATTTCTTTTCTGGGCGACGGAAAAGCCCTGCACAGATGCTGTTCCCTTTACCTCAGAAGCAAAGGCAGAATCATCGCAGACTATATACATGGGCTTTAAGTGATGCCACTTCTGTGGTTAGAAAAGGACTGAAGAAGGAGTGAGCATAAACATCACCCTTTACCAAGGCCTCTTTATGGCCATCTTATGGTGACGGAGCTTTTGACTGCCCCTGAACTAGAACAAGACAGGAATTGAAGCCAAGTATCCAGTCTGTGGTCACAGGGGTGTGCCCTGGCCCCACCACTGCTGCTCCACCAGCTTCTTCTCCATCAGGCACCTGAGGTGTCACACGTGTGCCCTGTGCTTGGATGGAAAAGCTTGCTTGGCCTTGCAGCAGATGGTGCACCAAATACCATAGAACTCCCACATGGATTTTGCAGGATCAGGCATCGAACAAGCAGATGGGAAGTGGATTGATGGGAAATTCAGTTTAGAAATTTCATTTTAGATGTTCCCTATTCCTCAAAACTGAGCTGCAGAGCCCATGCTGTGTGATACTGCTTCCTTAACATCACAGCCAGAGAATCCCACAGTGCTTTGGGAAGAGCTTCTGCCTAAGAGCTCAGCTCAGTCTCCCCTCTGGCAGGTTCAAGCCGTTCCTCTTGGCCTGTCCCTACAGGCCCTTGCCCAAAGCTGCTCTCCATCTTTCATCCTCTGCGGGCTGCAGCAGGGGTTGTGGTGGAGCAGGGGCTGCTTCAACAGGGGACTGTTACCCAAGCACCAGCTGCCCCATAGAGCAAAGTCCTACCTGTTCTAGCGATGCACAGCCAGCAGATAGCAGCATTGGTATATGGAATATACCCTGCACTATTCCCGCTGCTGTTTCAAAGCCATGCGGGCACCTTGGTGCAGTTAAGCATGAGGCCATGGCTTGCGCTGTTTCCATGCAGTGGGTGGTGGGTTCACTGGGCACCGGGTCCCGCTCAGCCTGTAAGAGGGAAACCCTCACCCGGTGAGGTAATTCAGGAGAATGAGCTGGTGTAATTAAAGACAAATAGGAGTGCTGTAGCCTCTAACAGCTCTGTTAACACCTGGGGTGGAGAGCTCCAGGAGAGCTCATCGTTTTCTGAGGGTTCCCCAAGGCAGAGCATACACTGGTATCCTCAAACGGGCATCTTGCTGCCTGTGCGAGACCCATCCTGCTGCTGAGGGATGCTGGGCATCGGGGCAGCTCCTCCCAGCGAGAAATCAGTGCACAGGAAATGAGCAGCCAGCAAAGTGAGGCAGGAGCTGTATTTCTCTGCCCTGGGATGTGCTGTTTTGCTGTGAAGGGTTTGACTGCTGCAGGGCAGGAGATTTCTCACCTGTGAGAGCTCTTTTATTATGAAAGGGATGGAAGATCCACTGAGGGACATCGTTGCTAATAAGACTTAATTAAAACTTGTTTGCTCTGATGATTTTGATTGGTTTCAGCCGTGCACAGAACCAGCCAGCCTCCACTCACAGTAGCATTTTATGGCAGTTCAGCTAGGAAGGTATTGCTTCATTGCTGAAAAAGGCTTTGATTTCAACCTGCAGAAGGATTTGGGGCTGCCTGGATGGGGGTCAGAGCTCGCGCTTCTTTTTCAGGCTGGGAAATGGATCACTTACTGGCCATATCGCATTTCTATTTCTATTATTTCCACTATTTCTATTCCTTCTATTATTTCTATTTCAATTTCTATTTCTTTTTCTATTATTTCTATGATTTCTATTAGTTATATTATACTATTTCTATTGTTTGTATCTAAACATGTATGTAATGTATATGGATAGGTATATGTATCTGCATCTGTATCTGCATTGTATTCGTGTATGTATATATATATTTGTGTATTTGTATTAGTATATGTGTATGTATATGTGTATGTATATGTGTATGTATAGTATTTGTATATGTATATGTATTTGTATATGTATATGTATTTGTATATGTATTTGTGTATGCATGTGTATGTGTGTGTATATGTGTATGTATATGTGTATGTATAGTATTTGTATTTGTATAGGTATAGGTATATGTATATGTGTATGTATTGTATTTGTATATGTATCGTATTTGTATATGTATATGTATTTGTGTGTGCATATGTATATGTATATGTGTATGTATTGTATTTGTATATGTATATTTGTATATGTATATTTATTTGTGTATATATGTGTATATGTGTATGTATACGTGTATGTATATGTGTATGTATAGTATTTGTATATGTATATGTGTAAGTATTGTATTTGTATATGTATTTGTATAGGTATAGGTATATGTATATGTGTATGTGTATGTATTGTGTTTGTATATGTATTGTATTTGTATATGTATCATATTTGTATATGTATTTGCCACCATTCTTCCCCAGAGGATGCTTTCATGCAGGGCATTTTACACTGATATAAGGGTCCCAGCACCTACACTGTATATACACTATATACAAGCAGACCATGAGATCATGAACCAGGCAAAGAGCAGTTGCATCAGCCTGGAACCATGTGTATGGGAAAGCAGGTTGCTGTTGGAAGCTGTGATGGATTTAGCCCCCCAAAAGCAGCTACAAGCATGGAATGGAGAGGGGGAGGCTGCCTGGCAGACGGTGGGGCCACAAGGAAGGAATGCAAGGGGGTTGATAAGGAAGGAATAATAACACCTCTTTTTGCTGAGCCTGCCTGTGTTTGCACACAGGCAAAAACTTCCTGAGCTGGAAGCGCAGCCTTTTCCGCTGGCTCGGCTCTGTCCCTGCTCAGCCACCTCCACTCAAGGCATTTCCCTCAATCTGGATGCTTTGGAGAAACCTTTTGTCTTGCCAAAGCACTTGGCTGTAACTTTATTGTCTGGTCTTGGCTGTAGGACATACCCTGAGCTGTGAAAAACGCACCTGACGTTTGATTAGATCTCCCACTATTGATGCACTGAGTAGTGCCGAGCAGATAAACAGCTGCCAAGAAAGAAAAGCCAATCCGCGCGCACTGTCCGACCCCACGGTGCACATCCAGCCCCTGGGAATGCTGCTCCAGGGCCCTCCTGAGAGAAAGAAAGAAAGAAAGAAAGGAATTGCATTGCCCTGCATCTGTTCCCCTTGCAGCCGAGCTGTTGGAGGTCACATTACCCCAGAGTACCACAAAACAGGCAGTGGTGGGGAGGCACTGGCACAGGGTGCCCAGAGAAGCTGTGGCTGCCCCATCCCTGGCAGTGCTCAAGGCCAGGTTGGACACAGGGGCTTGGAGCAAGCTGCTCCAGTGGAAGGGGTTGGAACTGGATGAGCTTTAAGGTCCCTTCTGACCCAAATCATTCTAGGGTTCTATGATCTTCATATGCACACACCCCTTCCCACTGTCAGGTCAGACCCCAGCCTTGCAGATCACTCCATAAAACTGCACCAGGAATTATCTGGGCATATTAAACAGCAGACAATCCAGCAAGCAAGGTTTTATAGTTAGCTGTACGTCACTTACCCTGCAAACATGTTGTTGAAAGACAGGGAAAATGTGCACAGGACAAGCCACAGCCTTTAGTCATAATATTGCTGCTGGGAAACAGCCTCTCTGCAAGGCGTTGGCCTCTCATCGCGTTGGCACAGCCACGCGTCCCAGTGGGATAAACACATTGTTGTTCCAAGGACACAATGGAGAAACTGCATTTTAATAGTCAACTTTTTATTCTTCAACTGGGATTTATTTACAGTGAGATACGGGAGGATCAATTCACACCAAACCAAACCAAACCTGAACTCCTCTAAACCGTGTTTAAATGACTCTTGCACCCATGGAAACAGCCCCAGGTAATGATGGATGTTGCTGTCATCCCTTTAGGCCCTGTACCAAAAACAAAGCCTTCCCCTCTGAGAAAAGGTTGTGATAACGTCACTAGTGAGGGCGTAAATCAGCTTCAAGGGCTGGTTTAGTCCTTATTTTGGATGTGGAGGTGCCAGCAGGGATTGTGGTCCGCCTGAGCTGCAGCCTCTCATGGTCTTGCACCATCAAGACCAGGCTTGTGCCACACCAGCTTTGGCCCCCTAAAAATGAGCTGCATTTGCTTGGGCTGAGCACAAACCTGCCCCTGGCTCTCACTGAGCTGCACAGTGATGCAGCTTGGGCAGCACGGAGCTGGGGAAGAGCTGCTCCTGCTGTTAGTCTTCACTTACTGAAGTTAAAAACCCACCTCTTTTTGTTCATGTACCTGCTGCTGATGCAGAGGGAGAAACACCCGGAGCAGAGCCAGGTCTGGGTCTAGTGCTCATCCCACTGGGAGCCCTTTGGCATCATTTATTCCCAAAGCCCCCCGTGTCGGGAGGGAGGGTGGTGGGACATCCAACCCCAGCATCTGCAGAGCCACCTACAGCCACATCAGGTGTTTGCCATCTCATTGCTTGCTGGCTCTGCCTTGTCAAACTGCTATCTCCAGTCCCTGACATGGAGAGACTGGGGGAGATCTTTACTGTAAAGCAACTACTGGTGAGGTTGAAAAAGAAACAAGTTTGAGGTCTGTTCACATTTCAGCCTTCACATCCATGTTCAATGTTTTACACAGAGCTTCAGCAAATTCTGCTGGAGTAGGAAATACTAAAGGAGACCTAAAGCACAAGAAGGGGGATTAAATGCCTCACGTTCTTAAAAGAAAAGAATAAATCCTGCACTTACACATAAAGACGAGATTAAAAACAACTCTGATAACGGAAATCATCTGAAACCTGGAAGGCTTTTGTCACTGAAATCCCAATTTAACTGCGTTAATCAGCCTAACACGCTGCCACCAAAACTTTTGGCTGCTTCAAGTCTGGCTCAAAGCTTCCGGACCTTGAGTCTGCCTCTGCTTAAAAGCTTCCAGGACGAAGGGCACTTGCATTTCTCACGTTATTCTAACACCAAAAGCAGACAAAGAGCTGCAAAGAAGTGCCCTGTGTGGTCAGTGGGAGAAGGAGGAGGAGGAGGCAGAGCAGCAGGTCTTTGGCGCTTCATGTGCTTTAGGCTGATTTGGAAGTTCTTCACAGGAATAAGAATAGTAGCAATAAAAGGTCTGCAATTCCCTAGCTGTCCATAGAAAACTCCTGCCCTCCCCTGTCTCTGCTCCCCTCCTGGTTCACACTAAGGATGGATGCACCTGCAGCCTGGTTCACATTTCGGTGTCAGCGGGGCTCTGCTGCCGGCCCGAGTGCCCGTTCTTGGAGGATGCTTGGCCAGTCCCATTCTCCTGAGTGCCGCCGTTGAGGTTTGGCTTCTCCTGCAGCTCCGGTTGCTCCTGGGGAGGGATCATCAGCATCGTGTTTCCCTGGCTGCCGTTTTCTGGGTAATAGGGGTCTTCAGCCTAGACAGGTACATAAAGAACAAGGAGTTAAGGGAGGGAAAGCGCTGACAGCGACCGGCTTGGATCGCAGGCAGTGGCTTGGCTGCCGGCGCTTCCTGGACAGGGGGTACAAACAACTGCAGGCATGGGAACCTGCTCTGGGTGACGAGGAGGGGAACAGAGGGCCTGAACTATGGCAGGATGAAGCAAGAGAAACAGCCAGGAACTGCGCTTGATTTTTCTCCTGGACCTGAAAAGAGAAGCTGTCAGGTTTGGGGTTTTTCTTGCAACCAGGTCCTGGAGCTGTCCCTGCCTCGCGTTTGCAATCCAAACCCTTCTATTATTCCATGACAGACCACCTCTGCTTTCCATTTCAGCTAAATAAGAAGCACCATGGAATGAAAGCTATGGAAACGGCCTCTTTCTCTTCCCATGTCCTGTCTCTCAGCCTGTAAATGCATCTATAGCTCCTAGCAAGGTGCCAGCAGAAGTGCAGGGCTGCGCTCCAGCAAATGCAGAGATGTGCTGTGTGGCTGGTTACTGCTGCTGCTGTAAGGAGCAGATGCCTCTGGAGGATGCAGAGCAATATCCTCCATTCCTACCATGATATCTCCCACGTGTTGGAATGTGGCAGGCCTGATAGCAATGCAATGGGCACTAGTGGTCCCTTGGTAGTAGCAGGCAGCCCTGTTCCTTGTTTGCTTGGTGGCATCCACCCACAGAGGCTGCAGAGTTTCTCTTTCTGCTCAGCCCCTTTGATGACCCCCTTGTCCATGGCAATGAGATAGGTGTGCTGGACACATCTCACCTAGAAACCGGCCTGACTCTCCCATGCGTTTCCATGGGCAGCTACAGATTTACATTGCCTATCACTTGCTGCCAGCATCCAGGAGATGGTATCCACGCTTGAGAGCCCAAGCTGCACCATCCCTGCCTCTGACACATGCACTTGACTTTCCATCTGCATGTTTTGAGGGCATCCTTTCTGGCAATGAAATAACCTAACGGCTTCCCAGGACACAACTCTCCACATGCCCACGAGCAGCAATGAGGGGAAAGCATGTCCCATCCTCACTTTACAAAGGGATCACACCCCAAAAGCCACTGGTAGGGAAGAGTCCTCAGCAGTCAGCCTGCCGGGAAGGGGGGAAACAGGAATAGGAAATTTCTGCCTCTTTCTTTCTTGATGTATTTTATTACCATTGCTTGTTAAGTGAGAGGGAGAAACAGCTTTTATTACAGCGTTGGTACAAGACAGATAACTCAAATGCAGCGAATGGAAAGTTAAAATGTGTCACTTTTAATGACAAATTCATAAGGTCTCGGTGTCTCTGGAGGGGTCTTGCTGGATGAGTTCTTACTGCTGAGCAAAAATAAGTGTTAGACCTAGAAGTATGAGGGAGAACGGGGCTGTTTCCCCACAGCAGCAACCAGCTAAGTTTTGAAGGCAAGAGAGGGTTCCCTTCCCCCTGTCTGGTCTGTTCCTTGCCCAGGAAGGACCTGGGGACACGCATGCAGGTTGTGGGTGCTGAGCCCCCTCCTCTCCCACCCAGGCACCCCATGGCTCGTCTCTACCTGCTGCTCTGCCATCTATAAGCACTGACCAGCCTCTCTCCTGCTGGGCTCCAGCTCCGCCGCTTCATCAGGAAGTATCCAGCCAAGCCCAGGAAGGCCAGCATGAGTCCAGATGTGACCAAGGCAATGAGGGTCTTCTGAGAAAAGTCCTGGTGGTTCCTCACGCTCCCCCGTTTGAGGGATTTTATTCCGAACTGGAAAACATAAAACACCAAAGAGAGCCGGGAGTCCGACAAACAGGAAACATGTGCGGAACAGGCAGCAGGCTTCAAACAATGCTGCTCTTCACCTCCTTGTTAAACATCACATAAACAAAGCTGGGCTTTGCTGCCCAGTGTTCTCCCTTGGACCAGAGTGCTCGGCTCCTCAGGTTTAGAGCATGCATCTGCTGCTGAAAGCATCAAATCACAGAGAGGTTTGGTTTGGAAGGGAGCTTAAAGCTCATCCAGTTCCTGCCATGGGCAGGGACACCTTCCACTAGAGCAGGTTGCTCCAGGCCCCATCCAACCTGGCCTTGAACACTGCCAGGGACAAACACTCCCAGTGCTGTGCACTGCTGTTGCAGCTCTGTTGGCTGCTGTTCATGCAGGCACCTGGAGCTCAGCTTTCCAAGCCAATGGCAGCCTCACTGGAGTGCTGAGAGGAGGAACTGATTAATGCCAGAGTAGTACTTTGAAGCAGCAGAGTGCCGATTACATCCTCAGTTGTTGTTGGGATCTAACCATCTCATGTGCCAACACTCAACAAGCACCTCTGAGATGGAGGCAGGGTCAGGTCTTAACTGACCATCTAAAAACCTCCTTTCTCCAGCTTCTCGGGCCACCCTTTTTTTCCCAGCTGAATTTGCTTACGGGATTTACCTTTTCCCAGTGGGACTCCTGGAGCATATCTGTAGCAGGATCTGCAAGGTTTAAAACAGGAGAGGCACATTACACAGAGGGTCATGCTGCAGCTGGAGTCAGCATCGGGGAGCCTGCCCATTGCTGAACACAGAGGAGCTGCTCTTGAGGCAACAAAGCTCTGTGTATCCAGAAGACCCCAGAAGAAAGAGCAGCTCTGGAGAGAAGCCTCCTTCTGGGTTGTGCCCCACAGCCTCTCCCACTGCCCATCATCAGTGCCAGCCAAAGGCATCAGCCCAACTGACCTCTCTCGCCGACGAGGATGAGGAGCATACAGTCATGATCCACCTCCGACTGAGCGAGCTTGATCTGGCAGGGGGAAGGGACACGGTGGGTGCCCTCCTCACATATGGCACTCCACAAGTCCGATCCCTTCATCTCTAGGAAGTGTTTCTGCAAGAGATGCAAGAAAACCAGCCACTGAACCAACCCAGCCAACCATCTCTGTTAGTGCCATGGGACTGTTGTGCATCCACCCTTGATGTTTTGGGGGCTTCTCTGGGCTGTGCAAAGCTGAGCAAGAAGCAACCAGAAGTGACAGTCAGCAATGGGCTGGGGCTCAGGCCTTCACATCCCCACTCCGCACTGCTTTGAGCCCCAGTACCAACACCTAGGAAATGGAGATGCTCACTTCTGGTTTCTTAACTTAATGAAAACGAATTAAATGCAGATATCAATAGCAACTCTTGCAAATGGCATGTAAGCAAAGCTAAATTTAGGATCTGAATTGCATGGCAAGTCTCTCCACTTTCTGGACTCAAATAGCCGCCTGAAGAGCCCTATTGTTTGAGAGTCCCAGGCCGGGGCTGGGAAAGGAGGGAAATAACAAAGAAGCATTGAGCCTTCCTGTTTAGGAAATGTCTTCAGTGTTTTTGCTAGGTTGCTGATCAAAGGCTAGGCAAAAATAATACCAATTTCTCACATTTTAGACCCGAACCGACTCTTGGGTGGAAGAGGAAGAGGAGTGAGGAGCTGCAGCCTTCCTCTTCTGCAGGCCAGTTTCTGCAGCAGACAGAATAGGCTTTCTCCTTGGGGCTATTTTCAGCCACAGCTTGCAGAGAGCCCACAGTTGCTAAAAGACCTTCAGAGCTTCCCTAACATCCTCCTACCTGGGGACATCATCTGAGCTGTGGCCATTGCCCGCCCTCAAGACAGAGACCGGCTCCCATTAGATCCCTGCCCCTGCCACCAGGCAGCTCAGTGCTTTCCTCTTTCTGCCTTAGAACTGCCTCAGCCTTGTGCTGGGATCACCTCATCCTCTTAGCATAGAGAAATGCAGGAACTTATCCACGGGAGAATAACAAACAAATCATTTTCAGCTGTTTCTATCGAGCTTGGCTTGGGGTGAGAAAGGCCAAGATGGAACAAGAGACCCAAGTGTGTATTTTCCTTTCTCTGCTGTGGAAAGAACCCATCGGAGTGTCAGAATTTCCCCTTGCAATTAGTGCTGGCTGCCAGCTCATTTGCTTTGGGAAAGGCCAAGCAGGAAAGTGAGACACGGTCCCTCCTATCTGCTCCCCTCGCAGACGCTCTTATCTGGTTCCCAGGTTCAGTGGCTGCTGAGCCTGAGCTGGATTTTCCCACTCCATGAGCTGGAGGCACGGGTGATGTCTGCCCTTGGGTGAAAGCTCCCATAAAAACACGCCTGGCAGAGGGCAGTTGGATGGACTGTTTTCCCATGGAGGGAAGTGTGTGCAATTAGACACGGCTCCATAGGGTACCCTGTGTGCTATAGGTGCATCCACCCGTGTCTGCGCAGGCAGGCAGTGTGTGGATAAGGGGTGCTGATCCTGTGCCCAAGTGTCCTTTCCCACTAGATGGCAGCTGTGACCAGCACCGCTCGCTCCCGGAGGAGTTTCCGTGTGAATTCCTGCTAAAATACAGTCCCTGTAAACAGGAGCAGGTCTAAATGGCATCTGCAGAGCAAAGCCAGGCAAGAACTCGCTCGCCCTAAGTGGTGGCAGTGCGGCTAAGCAGCACTAAGACTGATCAGTGTCATTTTAGCCCAGGGCATTGCCAAGTCTGCTGTGCCACAAGATCCTCTCTGACAGGCTGTACCTCCGATGTGGAAGGTTTCTGGGCTCCCACCCACACCAGGATCACAGCCAGACCCTCTCCTGCTTTTGTAACTGCTTCATTTTTAGTGCACAAGGCCAAGGGCACCAGAAAACCTGGGCTTCCCTTAGGACTCTGTGCAGATGGAGCCACTGATCAGCCACGCGTGCTCCTTCAGATGCCCTGGTTCCTTTCCTAGGGCAGTTGGCAAGACAAAAAAAGGCCCTCGCATTCCCAACAGGGAAGAGGAAGGAGAAGAACAAAGGCAATTTCCCGTTCAACATGGTGGGAGGTACTTTAAAAGCTAAACTGACCCCAGAGCTTAATCATTAAAAGGAGGCTTTATGCAACCAGGAGGATGCGTTTACCCTGGGACTGCTGGGATCATCCCCACAGCTCAGATGCTCTGCCCTAGGGATAACAGTGTGAGCTCCTCACCCCAAACCAACCCCCCAGCTATGGTGGGTGACCCCATCACTGCAAGCCTGACAGCGTTTGCTTGCAGTCCCCCCCTTGGAGATGGGTGTCCAGCCAGGGCTGCAACTCACACAAGTGTTGGTCTCGTTGAGCTGCAGGCAGATGGCTCCAGTGTCACTCACTTCTTTGACATTGTGGCACGTGATGGGCTGGAAGGGCAAGAACACAGCGGTGGCATCAGTGACCTGTTGTGAGGCAGCTCCAGCCTCCCCATGGTCCCACAGCCGCATCCTCACCTTCAGGCTGTCCCTGGCTGTGTGCAGTGGAGAGGTGGCAGTCGGGATGGGAGGATGCCCCGAGGTGGTGGCAGGAGAGCTCATCAGAGCCTGCACAGACCCTGGGGTTTCTGCCATGGTGCTGGGATGCGTTGTTGGGCTCTCAGATGTGGGGACCCCTTCGCTGGTGTGGTTTGGGTCCGAAGGAGTGCCCAGTGCCTGTGTGTGGGCTCGGCTGGGCTGGGGGCTCGGCTGCTCACTGCTGGGTCCCTGGGATGTGGGGCTGGCTGCCAGCAACCTGGCAGCAGCTTCAGTTGTGAAGAAATGCAATGAAAAGGAGACACGAGAAAGCTTAAGTCCTCTAAAAGCAGTGCGTGGCATTGCGATGACTCACGTACAATATTGATTTGTCATAGCCAACAATACCAGAACGTGTTATTGGCTCTGTAAGAAAAGTGCATTAGGCTTGCTTCAGTTGCCTAATTGTTACAAGCACTTCATAATCTGGTTACAATGGGCTCATTTCCTGGGCATACACTGCACCACAGCAAGGATGCTGTGGCCTGCCCTACCCTGCATCACCCTCATCTCCTCCTTGACCCAGAGTTGTCAGAAGGATGTACTGACTTCAAGCAGTGTGAGAGAAGGGCACCACACATCACTGCAAGCATCCCTGCTCCAAACCCCTTCAGATCCTAACCCTGGCCTTGTATTGGAAAGGTTGGCAGAGCTCTTATGGGTGCCATTTGCTGAGCAAGTAACAAGTATATTGAGATAAAATATTAATGACCATTTTGTCCCTTGGCTGTTTTGAACAGAATGGGTCCAATCCACCCACCCTGATGACAGCAGTGCTGGGTTGTCCCCGGTGGGATTTTTGGGGCCAGGATTAAAGCTGTTGCCCATACTATCAGGCTCTTTTTTGAGACCACAACCCCTGCACCAACTCCCGGTTTCTTAGGGCAAACCCATGCACTTCATAAACCTGGTTACCAATGCCAATGCCCCCAGGAATCACTGGGGGGGAATGAGGGTGGTAATTACCAGATGTCTGTGGTGTGAGCTGGGCGCTGCTGGTGGCTGCAGGGGCAGCTCCGGTGGCTGCTGCACTGCTGGCGCCTTGCGATGCTGCGGCCGTCGGTGTGGGGCTGTTTGTGGAGCTCCCACAAGCATTACCTGAGGGCAGAGAGAGGTGTTAGGGGCTGGTGTCCCCCCCAGCCCTGAGCCCCTGCCTGCCCCCGAGCATCCTGGGGGGCCGAGGGCTCTTGGGGCAGCACTGGAGGAGGACCGGCTCATTTCTGCCCTCATCCCTCCCCATCCTCAGCTTTACTGAGGGATGCATAAAGCTCTGCACAAAGCTGGATTTCATAGTAAGTTTGGCTTTATAATCCTTAGAGGAAAGACTCTCTTGGAAGAGATCATTTATACGCCTCAGGAAAAATAAGCTGGATCTGCAGTTGCAGGCACAATCTCAAAGTAAATAGAAACATTCCCTTTGGCTTGGGATCAGCACTGACTCATGAGCGAAAACATCTTTGGAGGTAAAACAGAATGTTTGGAGAATGGTTTGCTGCTCTAACTTAAAGATTATATACTGCTTCCTGGTATGTTACCAAGATGACACTTCCAGCTTTTCCTTCTGAAATGAACTACATGAGTCAGTGGAAACGCATCGCTTCCCATTCCTTAACCTTTTCTGTGTGTAAGATCCATTTCCCTTCTGTCGAACACCTTCCCTCTCTACTCCAGGGCTTTTGCTGTTTAAGATTCTTACCCAGACACTTGGGAAAACCTCACAAAACGTGTTGTTTCATTTGTCTTTCTGCCCAGGGGAGCCTGAGCTCCAACTTACTTCATCTTTCCAAACCAGCCTTTGAGATGGAGCAGCTCTGACAGGTCCTGATCAGCCACCCGGAGCTGGCACCAGGGCAGCATCCCCTGCCCGTTACACATGCACTCATGTGTTGCACACTGTAGTATTGTCCTGGCAGGAATTACTTCTGTGCGGGATGTCAGCATCTGCTTATCAGCTCCAGAGAACTTGGATGGTTTAGGAAAAGCAAAGACCAAGATCCCTGAGGTCCATTTTGGCCACGGGAGGCAGGGGCCAGAGCTGCTTGGCTCTTCCTGCAGCCAGAAGGTGCTGATGGAGAGCGTACATCAGCCCGGCCCTGTGGTCAAGGCACATCCCATCCCATCCATCTCATCCTGCGCTGTTCTGTCCTATCCTGTCTCATCCCATCCGATCCCATCCCTTATGTCCTGTACCATCCCATCCATCTCACCCCATCCCGTCCCATCCCATCCCATCCTATCCCATCCCATCCCATCCCATCTCATCCCATCCCATCTAATCTCATCCCACCCCATCGCATTCCATCCTGTCTCGCCCCATCCTGTCCTATCCTGTCCCATCCCATCTCATCCTGTCCTATCTTATCCCGTCCCATCCCATCCCAGGCCTGTGCAGGCTGCAGCTGCTCTGGACGCAGGAGCACCGGGGAGCTGGAGGGGGGGCTCTGCAGAGGGCTCCGTGCAGGTGTCTGGAGCTGGGATTGAGGTTCTGGCTCCTATTGAAGCCAGAAGTTTCTTCTCTCTGAGACATTTCAGTTCCAGCTGCTTCAATCACCACATTTCTGACGAACAAACCCAAAGCAGGAGGCGCGACTCCGTGCCCAGCACAAGGAGAGGCACAAGTTAAATCCGTGCTTTGCTCACATGCGTGGACATGCGCAGGGAACTTCCCATCACCAGAACAATGTAGCCCCTGGACTTGACCTCCCCAAGTGCTGCAGCCACCCAAGAACCTGAGAACTGTTCCAGATGTTTATAAAGCACCAGAGGTATTTCTAAGCAAAGTCTTTTCACCGCTGAACATCATAAAATGAAGCCTGGGTTATTGCTCAGTGCCGGTTGTGAGAAGACCTGTCACACTGTATTGCTTTTCCTCCCCTTTACTGTAGCATATGCAGGCCCTTTTCATAGAAAACATGCCTAAATTGTTTGAAACCTCTGGACTCAGGAGATAGAAACTGATCCAGATGTGGGCTGGATAATCCACATGGCGCTCAGCTGAAGTGGGTCATTTATTGCACCACACATTTTTACTGGCCTTGCTAAACTCAGTCCATTTGTTAGTATGAAAGGTTTGAGAGTTTAAGCCAAACCGTTTATTAACCTCAGAGAAATCTTCACCTGGGAGTGCTGGCACATGCAGGAGCAAAAGCATGTGAAAGCAAACCGTGCTTCACTATGGTATTTACACATTAAAAAGCCTAAACACCGTTTCGTAGCTAGGATGTTAAATGCCTCTGATTTTTAAAGAGATTTTAATAATAGGGCTTAGGAAGTATCTCAGCAACAATATCAATGTTAAAGTAGTTGGCGTGGTCCAGCACTCATCCCTGAGCACTAAACCTGGACCAGAGAAGGCAAAACTCTGCCATGGCAAAGGCTCAGCAAACAGGAGAGACTTTATGTCATTTGTGCCCTGCTCTGCAGCAAATGCACCACGGGGGTTTCTCAAGCTGCAGAGGGGCTTGGGACAAGGGCTTGTAGGGACAGGCCAAGGGAATGGCTTGAACCTGCCCGAGGGGAGACTGAGCTGAGCTCTTAGGCAGAAGCTCTTCCCTGTGAGGGTGCTGAGGCGCTGGCACAGGGTGCCCAGAGAAGCTGTGGCTGCTCCATCCCTGGCAGTGCTCAAGGCCAGGTTGGACACAGGGGCTTGGAGCAAGCTGCTCCAGTGGAAGGGGTCCCTGCCCGTGGCAGGGGTTGGAGCTGGAGGAGCTTTGGGGTCCCTTCCAACCCAAACCATTCCAGGACCCTATGACTCTCCCCTGCACATCCCTCCCAGCAAGGTGGAAGGTGCAACCCAGAGGGGCTTCCCAAGCAGTAATTCCAGTTCCGACACTGATCCTGGCTGATACAAAACCCTCTTGGCAAACCCTTTGGTAACTGGGTGCCTGTTCCAGTGCCCTAACACAGAACCAGGATAGTTCCCTGTGTTTAACAAAGCCTTTCCCCAAGCTCAGCCGGTGCTCTAGAAGCTACAAGAGCTGCAGCAAAGGTGATCTGGCCCCACACTGCCTATGGAAGAGGAGGATGAGGAACGTTTGGACGGCCACAGCCATCCCATGCTCCCTGCAGCAGCTCCAGCAGCATTACTCACACCTCCCCAGTCCTCCTGCTCTCAGCCATGTGGCAGGAATTCAAGCGGGTGGAGCCCTCTTCCCTCTGGAAATATCTGATAAAAATCCCTTCCCTCCCCCTTTTCCTTCTCCCAGGCAGGATATGGGTGTGGGGCCGGCACCACGCAGGGGCAGGGGCCACGGGGAGCCCCCGGCCTGCTGCACCAAGGGGCGTCCTTGGCACTGGGTGCTTGGGAGCCCTCCCGGGGACCACGAGCAGTCGCATCCCTCAAGTGGCTGCGAGTCTGAAGGCTCCTTTTCCCTTCCCTCACTTTTGCAGCGTTTCTAGGTCTTGCAAAAGGGATGAAGGGAAGAAAGAATGTTTTAAAAGGACAAGAAAAGAGATGATTTTCAAAAGTCGAGTTTGGCAGCGATGAGTTAAAAATGTGTAATTAAAAAAGAGAAAAGACCAAAAAAATTATTGTTTGTATTAGGCACAAATATTATAGAATCCCAGAGTGGCTGGAAGGGACCTCAAAGCTCCTCCAGCTCCAACCCCTGCCTCAAGCAGGGACCCCTTCCACTGGAGCAGCTTGCTCCAAGCCCCTGTGTCCAACCTGGCCTTGAGCACTGCCAGGGATGGGGCAGCCACAGCTTCTCTGGGCACCCTGTGCCAGCGCCTCAGCACCCTCACAGGGAGAACTGCGTCCCCTTAAAACACGTGGCTTTCCCCAAAGGTGTTTCAGGAGCTGGCTCTCCAGGAGCCCATCCAGACTCAATTCCTCAGACCTGGGATTTCCATTGGGAGCTGCCAAACTGAAACCTCTGCTTAAGTCCCTGGGATGCCCCAAAGAGGTGAAGAGCAGAGCCTGGGGGTGAGCTCCCTACTTGTGCACAGAACCAAACCTCCTCCACTTCCAGGCAGAGCTAATAAAGCTCTGAACACCCTGCAAACTGTGGAGCACTGGCTGTGCCAGCACCAGCGATGACATTTTGCAGCCTTAAACCAGCTTGCGCCCAGTACCCTTGCCTTTCCACAGGCACAGCTTTTTATCACTTGTGCTTTGTACTACCAGGAGCTCAGGTTCTGCATTTCAGGTGAACACTTGTGCCTTGCACCCTTCAGCCAGTCCTCAGTTCTAGTTCTCTCTAATAAAATGGCTTTTTTCCTTCCTATAAAATTAACAGAGACTGGAGGGTCAGGCCCAATGGCTCTGATGAGCAATAGACCTTGGCAGCAGGGGGAACATGAAAGGAGCACTGTGAAACAGGAGAACAAAATACAGCAAATTCTTTCACTACTTATTCCTCATTCCATGTCACTAAGGAAAAATACATTTTAGGAGACACCTGGGGTCCTGGCACAGAGTGCTGCTTTACATTTTTAAGTCCCTTTTTATTACTTCACGGCTGTTGAGTTTGGGACCAAAATGATAACATTTCCCTAAAATATAACCCTTCAAAAAGCACTAGCTCGAGCAAATCTCTGTATTGTTACTCACTGTTTCATATGATGAATATTTGAAGAGCTGGAATAGGAGATATTAATATTTATGTAGATTGATTTGATTTTCAGACAATGTTTAGCTCCCACCACAAAACAAAAGTAAGGCTAATTTACACTGACACAGACTGAGAAGCGACTTGAACTGTGGCTGCACTCCACCGCTTTGCGTGCTGCATCAGCATCCCCTCCTGTTATCTGTAATATTACAGGGAGCTCTTCCACCCTGATTCGCCTCTTTCTCAATGCAGCAGCTTTTTCTGCTTGCAGTGTATCACTTGGAATGTGCTGGCTGGGATGCCTGATGTAGAACATCACTGCAGCGTGAAACTGCAACCGCCACTGAACACCCATTAAAACGCATCCCCCTCCTTGTTCCGTAAGTTACAACGAAGTTGCCCCATGCAGTAGTCTCACGCTGCTCTGTTGCTCAGTGCCTGTAGCCCTGGTTAGTCGCTGCAGTCAATACTCACCACACAACTCCACAACACAGAACGCGATCCAGCAAAGCTGCCTCCACTTCATGATGTTTAAACTTCCCAAGAACAGCATTCCTGCTCGCAGCTCCCACCACAACTGGAGCTGGCGGTGACAGCTCTTGCGCTTTCAGTCCTGCAGCAGCTCTGAGCTCATGGAGCTGCTTGGGTTTAGTTCAAGCCTTTGAGATCACTCACTTGTGGGGTGGGTTTCTCTTCAGGGGTTGTGCTTATGGTTCAAGACCGAGGTGGAGTTTCTCCTTTCAGTTTTATACAGTTCATGGCAACCTCACTATCTCTTAGGTAATTTTCTCCTCCCCACTTCCCTGCCAGCGCTTCAAAACAAACAAAAGAGCAACCCTCTCCCCAGCAAAGGATCCCAAAGCCTCGCTGGGCTTAACTCTTTCCTGAGAGCCGCTTACGTTCCTGTTAGAGGGAAGGCAGGGATGCAGCGTGCTCCAGCTGGAGGGAAGGATTAGAGCAGAGCCTGCTCCTAAACTTCCCTCAAAGCAAACACCATCTGATGAGAGCAGGAAAGCTGGAACCCTGCGGTCCAGCCCCATGCACAGTGCCAGGGCTGTGCCAGTGGCAAGGGGGAACTTGGAAAACAGTGGCATGGTTTAGTGTGAGGTGTCCCTGCCCATGGCAGGGGGGCTGGAACTGGATGATATTAAGGTCCTTTCCAACCCAAACCATTCTATGATTCTATGAATCTAAAACTGACTTCAGAATCACAGATTTTCTCAGTGAATTAAGCAAGGAACTCAAGGATGTGAAATCATCACTGACCTGAAGAGAAGGAGCTCCATTAGCTTCACTAAATTGACTGTGGTCAAACAGAGAATGAAATGGTTTAGAGAAGGGCTGAGGGAAAGAAAAACCCACAGGCAGAAGACCTGGAGCAGAAGAGGGACTCAAGACTAGTAACATCCTAGACCTCCTGTCCATTAATAGCACATCATAGAGACATTACCAGCAGTGCAGAAATACTGACTTACATCTTGCTATTAGGCTGAACTTTACCAAGTGGGAATGGTTGCTCCTGGTTCTCTACAGGGCTGCACTGCAGACACGTGTGGGACCAGCACCCGACTCAGAAGGGTGAGGGATGCTCTGCAGATGGCAGCAAATGGAGCTGAGTCAATACACCCTAGCACAGCCCGAAAGAGACATGAGGGTCTCCAAAAGCACTGATTAAATATATACACACACACATATATATATTAAAATCTATTTTTTAAACTTAAAAATACCTGTGGTTTCTATTCCTTAATTTTTATGTCTGGAGACACCAAAAATACCAGAAATGTCTTAATCATAATTTAACAATTTTGGCTTTGGGGATAATAAAGAAAAGGTATGATCGCTTGGGAAACCAAACTGCTTAAGCCTGGATTCTTCCTTTTCTTTTGCAGCTAAATGGTGCAGTCACTAAAGGAGTCACAGGAAATCCAAAAATGAGGTGGCCAGGAAAACAGCTATGGAAGGAAAGGCAGTTAAGAGCTTGCTTAATGTATTATCTGTTTGTGGCTGCCCCTAGTACATTTCTACAGACAGAAAAGGAATAAAAGACAGAAGAAAAGACAGGGTCGTGTTGTGCACAAAGAAATCCCCTATTAGCGTTTCTAATACACACATTTCTTGATATGACAAAATGCCAGTAGCTTTTGTTTGTAGCATGGGACAGGGATTGGAGGAGATGATGTTTAAAGGTCCCTTCCAACTCGAAGCATTCTGTGATTCTATGGCAGGAAACATCTCTTGGAAGGAAACATCTGTAGCTAAGAAACGTGCTCCAGCATCTATATAAAGACTTCTATTATGTGCAGTAATCTATTACTGTACAACAGAGCTATACAGCTCTGTTAAAGTCCAAAATACCCCAGTAAAATATGGTCTACAACACAGCGTAAAACCTGAGCGTGGACACAGCCCGGCTGTCTCCAGCAGCTCCCACCAGCATGCTGTCTTTTTCCCTGTCTCAAACCCACACTTTGGGAAGCGCATGACCCAGCACATAACACAGGTTTGCTTAGAAAATATATGCGAAAGATGAAATGAGAAAAGCAGAGAGAGACAAAGTGCTATTTAAATAACAGATTATTATTAATTTTTTTCCTATTAAAGTGAGAATTTGGGTTGGATAAAGTGACTAAAAATAAAAGAGTTGAAATTTCAAAGCATCGGCCACATCAGATGAAGACCATCTGGTGAGAATGAACATCCCATCACACTGAAAAGCATCAAGAAAAGCTGTGGAGCTGCCTCTGGCAGGACAAGGCTCGGGACCACTCTTGTCCAGTGAAGGCAGAAACGCTTAGAAATGGTATTTCAGCACTAAAAATAAGTGAATTATAGGAAAAAAAAAGAAACCAAGCCAAGTGGTGCTGAGCCTCTTGTTTGCATGGGGGCTGCAGGAAACCAGCCCCATTGTGGCTCCCCAGTGGTGGCCAGCCCCTGCCCACCCTGCCTGCAATTCCTGCCCTGCCTGCACCAGGGGCTCTCCCCTCTGCCCTGCAGCCTTCCTGCCATTCTCTTCCAGCACTGCCCCGGGCTCCTGAGTGAAAGAAACCAAGAGGCTCATCCGGGTTTGGCTGCCGGTTGTATTTCACCTTTCAAAACCAGACTAAAAATAGAGAGCTGGACTAAAAATAGGCAGTGGCCGGGTCTGTCAGACACCAAGCATGGGAAGCGCCCGGGTTTGGTTTCCACTGGAAGTCAGGCTGTGTTGAAATGACATTCCTAGTGTCAAAGATGTAGGGTTTCATTAATACTCATGCCTACTGTGTGCGCTGAGTATGTCAGATCACGCCTTAGGACTCGTTTGCGGACAGTGACTCAGCTAAGCATGGCACAGCAGCTAAATCTGACATATCCTCAAATGAAGAGCCAAAAGAACCCAGAATCACTTACTTATTCAGCTTATTCTTTGGACTCAGGCTAACCACAAGGCTTTGTGGCTTGGTGTCCATTTGCAGTCGGTTTAGTGCGAGGTTTCCCTGCCCATGGCAGGGGGGTTGGAACATGATGATCGTAAGGTCCTTTCCAACCCTAACTATTCTATGATCCTATGATTCTATGATTGATTCTATGATTCTATGTTTCAGAGATGCTGGGATGTGGGCAAGCTCTTTGGCTGGGGTGTGTGTATCTGTGCACACACCTCCAAGCATATTCCGTATATCCAGCTGGAACCAGGCTCTTCAGGTATTTCCTCCTGTTTGTTCAGTGAGCAGAGGATAACACCTTTTCTCACTGATAGGACTCTCCACTTAAACCTCTGTTTAAAGTGATTGGAATGACTTCCTCCTTTCAGATCCCTAACAAATCCTTCTGGTGGAAAACTTCAACACCAAAATAAGAAACACCTACTTGAAACGTCTCAGCCCATGTCAGCTGTATGAGGTTAGCAACTCCTGAGCCGACTCCAACTAAACATTTACAGGATCAAGAGTCCACATTTCAAGCAGTACGGTGATGAAGGTTTGTTCACATGGACTGGGATTGTGGCCAAGTATTTAAGGGTGATTTAACTTAATTGTGAGTGATGCAATAGACATATGGCTGGGAAGTTATATGCCAGGAAGCATGTTTTCTATAAGTATTTTAGCAGGCAGATGGCATACAATAGTTTTGGTGCAGTCATTTCCTCACCTCTTAAAAGTTGCTATTTTGGAATAATTAGATTCCCACCATCTTCCCAAGACACCAGCACTGCTGACCCGGAGGATGTGCAATGTTAGAGGACTATTTCTCTACAAAATGCCATCCCATAAATCAAATATAACACTTGTCCATCCACTGCCATTCAAGAGACTCAAAACACTTGCAAACTTTCCCACTTAAATCGAAAGTGAGGATTAATGGTGGATGGGAACAGAAGCACGTGAAAGCACTTGGAGCAACGCCACACCACAACTAAACCCCAAAAGCCAAAAGTTTTGAGTCCCAATCCTCAACCATAGCAACCAAACCACACCACTTCCCAGGCAGAGCAATGCTCTCTGGATCTTAACAACCATCTCAGGCCTCCAAAGAACTGCTGCAGGAGATCCAGCTTCAGGAGCAGGGTGAGCATCCCTATGCCTGGATGGGGCTGGAGAACCACAGCAGAGTAAGAAACTGCAATGAAACGGCATTTGAGTGATGCTTGGGTTATTTGTGATAGCTTTTATTTTAATTAGGGCTTTGTACAAAACAGGATCATAATAGAATGGTTTGGGTTGAAAGGACCTTAAAGCTCCTTCAGCCCCAACCCGTGCCACAGACAGGGACCCCTTCCACTGGAGCAGCTTGCTCCAAGCCCCTGTGTCCAACCTGGCCTTGAGCACTGCCAGGGATGGGGCAGCCACAGCTTCTCTGGGCACCCTGTGCCAGCGCCTCAGCACCCTCACAGGGAAGAGCTTGTTTCCTAATACCCTAATACCCAATCTAAATTGAATTTAATCTTCCCCACTGAACCCACTAAGATGCTGTTGGGACCACATCTCCTCTGTATTAACAGCAGGCATGGGACCAAATCCTGACCAGGGTTGAGCAAGGGGAACTCATGCCCACTGCTAGCAAAGGATGCAAGCTCTTTACTCTGAGCAGATGGAATGAACTGATTGTGATTCATCTAAGGAATAGCAAAGAACTCAAAAGCTTCCCTAATGGTATCATCCTTCTCATGGTTTCCTGAAGAACTTGTCATCTATTTGTTTTATTGTGTTTGGTTTTGCACATTATTATATTTATATTGTAGCTCTTGGGGCAGGAAATGCTTCCTCTATTACTGTTTCAGAAACGACATCCTGAGAGTCCTGTCAAGGCATCCTTTGTGTGAAGGCTGTGCTGGAGAGATAATTACCTCCATTCCTACATCAGAACCTTGCAAAGCCATCCGCTTCTGCCAGCCAAGGAAGAGCCCCTCACCCCCAAAGAGCCATCCCTGCTTGTGCCCTCCACCACCAGAGGATGCTGGAGGAGAGCTCACCTTTACCTACAACAGCAAATGCAGGTTCCCCCTCTCCGTCCTTTCTAATGTCAAATGAAAACCTCTGGCTTCAGCAAGAAGTACACAGCATGCCTGGGCTCCTAAATTTACTTCTAGAGTGCACAGAGCCTTGAATAACCTTCATTCATGAAAGCAAGCTGCCTTTCCAGACCACTCTTTATCTAGGTGCTTGTATTCTTTCTCTGATTCGTATTGAAATTTAGTTCTCAGAACTAAAGACCAAATACATCATAGATCCCAGACCAGTTTGGGATGGAAGGGACCTTAAAGCTCATCAGTTCCAGCTCTCTGACACGGGCAGGGACCAGGTTGCTCCAAG